GGCGGGGGTTGGGGTTGGGGGTTAGTGGTGGCAGGTGGTTGCAGTCGTGGCTGGGAGTGCCGAATGAATTCAGCCGGTGCCGCAGCTCCCGGGATCAGGCTGCACGTAGCTGACCCCTGACTCTGCGCACGGGCGCAGGGGTGGTTCTGCCCCTTCTCCCGCGCCTCGTCCTGGCTGTGGCCGGCTGCAAGGGCGGTGATTTTGTCCATCACTGACCCCGCCAACCGCGCCTCCGCTCCGCCACTGGCGGGCTGCTAGCCAGTCTGGCCGTTCCCGCCGCCAGTGCTTGGGGCCACTACCACTCCTAGCGCGACGCACAGACGCCTGCAAACACTCTGCACCTCACCGCCACTCCTCGCTGGGCCCCGAGCGCAGCACACCGCAGCGCCCTCCCTCTGGCCCCGCTCCAACGGCGGCGGGCCACGCCCTGGCGCCGCCCCGCCCTTCGCCGCGTGCTGGCTCACCTGATGAGCTGCGGCTTGGGGGTGATTCCCGTGAGGTCCACCGCGAAACTGCTGTTGCAGCTGTGGAACGTGATGTTGGCCTGGGGCCGCGTGGCAAGCTTGTAAAAGCAGACAGACCGCAGCACAGACTGCGCGCGCGCCGGTACTGCAACCTCCTGCGCGCCGACGGCGACGATGCCGGAGCCCGGGATGAGGTCCATTCTGACCTGCAGGCAGTAGTCACCCTGGGGTAGTTTAGGGGAGGGGCCGGACAAGTGAGTCCCAAGGAGGGGGCAGGAGGGTCAGGGGTCATGAAAGCCCGGGAAAGGGGGTCGCGAGTGCTCGGGGACCCTGTTGGATTTGGGCGTATAAATGCTGCTGCAGATGCCAGAGGAACCACCGCGCCGCTCTTGGGTGCCGGCCGTGCTGCCAGTGTCTGGAGGATGATTACGTGGAATCCGTTCAGGCAGCACGTCTGCGACTCAAGAGCAGGCATCCACCGCCCACAAACTGCAGGCACCAGCCCCGCGCCCGAGTGAGCGTGCGCACGCGTGTCCCTGCACTCACGTCGGGCAGCTGCGGCACAAAGCTGATGGTCACGTTGGCGGGCGGGTCCTGCTTGGAGCCCTTGAGGAAGGGCCCCAGCTGCCCGCCCTGCCCGGCGACCGCCCACGTGATGGTGAAGGCCGCAGGGCGCGTGAGCACGCCCGCGCCGGCCGCGTTCTGGCCGGTGACGCAGGCGATGGGCACTGTGCCGCCGACCTGGGTGAACACGCTGAGCGGGGCCATGTAGAGCTGCGGGATGGGGTAGCCGGCGAGGGCGATCTTCATCATCTGGTCGGACTGCGTGTTGCCGGCCGCGGCCTGGACGGCCTGCGACCAGCCGGTCGGCAGGTTGTTGCTCTGGGGCGGGAAGAAGGTGAGGCCCATGTCGCAGGGGCCGCGCGGCTGCGGGATGGCGGGCGCAGCGGGCGCCGCGCCGGGCGCGATGACGCCGGGCGCTGTCGGGGCTGCTGCGGCGGCATCCGCCGCGGGTGCGAGCGCCGCGGGCTGGGCCACCGTTGCCGCTGACTGAGGGGCTGTGAGTAGGCTCTGTGCATGTGAGCCTGATGGGGGCGGATCGGGATTGAGCAGTGCGGAAACAATCCGGGTCACTCGGTGGTGCTGGCGACAGGTGCGAGGAGGACCCAGCTCCCCCTTTGAAGCATCTGATGGCGCAAAGGAATATCTAAATATCCATGATATTGTTCCTGTCTGGAGGACTGGGTCAGGACGCCGATGGGCTTGATGCAGAGGTACTCCCAGGTCGAACTGCTCTGAAACCGGGTGAGACGAGCCCTCTGGCCGCCAGAAGTTCTACAAACCCCCAATCAAGTCCTTTGGGGCTGGCTTCAGCTCCATATGGATGCTTGCACCACGGTGCCCACCTGCTACAAGCAGGGCCATTGCCACCAGCGCAAGGCGCTGGCGCTGCATGTTGTCGAGTTTCTATCAGCCTCTGAATTCGGATCCTCAGGCACTATGGGAGCTAAGCAAGGCCACGGCGTCCTCGTCGAAATCGCACCGACGCTGGCTCCGTAGCTACGAGCTGTGCTGCTCTCTGTTGTGGTTGAAAATACATCAAATAGCGAGAACTCAATACGATTGTGATTGCTCGTGGGGACCCGACTCCGTTCGGGGCACGGGGCACTGCCAACAGCCGAGAGCGAGTGTCGCTCTGCCTGTCCAGCTCCGAGCGCACTTGCACGCTGCGCGGCGGCCGCGGTGCCGGGGGACGGCGATGGCAATGGGACGGCGCGCTCTTGCCAGGAATATTGGGCATGAATCAGCTGCGCCGAAAGCTGACCGCCATGTTTAGCGTGCGTGCAAGGTCGTACCGCGTCGGTTACTGTCGTCAAGCCCTCAAGCTGCCGCGCCCAGGCTGCGTACTTTGAGCGGCCGTTGACGCGCGACCAAGTGGGCCCAGATTCCCTGCAGCTTCAAAGCGCTCCGTGCTTCTCTTTCACCGTTGAAGGCATTGCACCAGGCGAATCGGCTCGGGCAAGCCATGACCGGCGCACTCCCCACTAGCAACAGTGGTGCCTGGAGTGCGCAGCAACCTCCCCCCCGCCCAGGCCACGCCTGCATCTGCTCAGGAGGCAGCGAAGCCTCAACCTCAGCGCCTCGTCCCCACAGCCATCCCCTCTCAATTAAGGCGCAACGCGAGGCTCAGGTGTTGCAGCGTGGTCACGTGGTGCGCTTGCCCACAAACCATTGGCGGGCAAAAGGAATGATAACGCGCAAACATCGCCCGGTTTGCGACGCTGGGTGGCGGCGCCCTCCGTCTCGCCGTCTCGGCTCAAGCATGCCCCACTGTCGCTGGCCGCCCCTGGGGCTGCTGGCCGCGGCGCACAACTGGAGGGCGGGGGGTCAAGCGGTGGACAGCGGCCAGCGCCCGCACGCGCGAGCGCGGCCGCTGCGTCGCCGCCGAGGGAGAGGGGACCGCCGACGCCGCTGCCGCGCCGGCACTGCCGGCGCGCGCGCTGCAGAGGGGCGCCTCGGCAGGGAGCGGCGCCACATAGCAAGCAAGCGCGTCCCCACCGCGTGCCGGTCGCAAATGCAGCCTGCAACAAAGCCCAGCCCCGTTGAAAATATGCAAACTGGGCGGTCGCTCCACTCCTGTGAAATAGGAGAGGCCCAGGGGTGCCGGCCGCGCCCCGGGCCACTGCCGCCATGCCGCAGCCGCCGCCGCCGCCCCCGGCGGCTCACGCGCCCCCTTCCTCCTGCTGCCCGCCCCCGAAGCCGCCCATCTGCTGCAGCATCTGCAGCAGTGCCTCCCCAGAGATCACGCCACCGCCGGCCGCCGCCGCGGCAGCCGCCGCCGCCGCCGCGCCGCCGCCGCCGCTCCCCTCATCCTCGTCGCCGTCCGTCTCGACCGCCTCCGCGCGGCTGGGCTTGGGGCCGCACAGGTCCCCCTCCTGTTCCACCAGCAGCGCGTGCAGCGCGCCGCCGGGCTCGACGGCCCCGACCCACGCCTCGCTGCCGGCCAGCAGCGCGGCGAGCGGCGCGTTGTGCGTGTCGGGCGCGCCGGCGGCGTCTGCGGCGTCCAGCAAGACCTGCGCCGCCTTCACGGCAAAGCCCGCGCGGCCGGCCCGCATGCCCACGGGCTTGGACGCGGCCTCGGCGGCTGCGGCGCGGGGGAGGGGGCGTGCGGGGC